GATGCATCTCCATTTCAATTAACTCGTTGGCCTTATTTACCTCGTTTGAAAACTCTGCGTATCATTGGTGTATACAATCATGATGATCTTTTAGTTTTTCTTCTACTTCATGCAGCAACACTCACTCATCTCATCATAAAATCAAACGAAAGAATGGTACCGGTAAGTATTACCCATTTGTTTCTAATACATGCAAAACTGTACAAAAGGAGGTCCTAATTCACTTTGAACACAGCACTCCTTTGTTGGTATGCTTAACACATCGCACAACACTGCGTGAGGATGAGAGCTGTGCCGCAAATGAAAAAATTTTCAATACGATGGAACCATTTAAATAACAATTAAAAAGATAATATTGTTGTGACGTTAAATTCCGTTACAATATTGCTACAAGAAGACCAATTTGTATGCATAGACTGTAAGAGATAAATTATTTTCATTATTTGAAAATTTTAGACTAATCAAAATTTGAGTCAAATAAAATTGTAGTAGAGGTAGTAAGGAAAGACAGATTCATTATTTTAGATTGAATTTCATTCGATACAGATTATCGAAATCGATAAAAAACATCCAGTTAAATTCATTTGAAACGTTATCCGATTCAAATATGAACTTGATTAAAAAACAATTTTAAAACTATGATTTACGTAACTAAATGATTAAAGTTTATTATTACATTAATATGTTAAAATATAAAATAGTTTTTTTTTATTCGGTATGAGATCTTTTTGAAACAATCGTATGAAATTATTTGACTTTTTATAGAGAAAAAGAAAATAGAACTAATCTGTTTATCAAAAATGATATCATATTCTAAAATATATCTGTAGAATTTGACGTACAATCATATAACAAAGTTGAATTATTAAAAACGAACAAAGCTTGATCTAACTTTCTAACAATTTGATTGTTAAACTTGTGAAACTATCTCTGATAGTTCTAAATATATTTGAAAAGTATCTTGTTTGAATAATTATTGCGATCACATTTTTAAAGATAACAGTAATGAAAATCATCGTGAGATAAAATATTAAAGAGAATAAATTTCGTTTAGCGATAATGTAGAATATAATGAGAATTGTTTCAATACCCACGGAAAAATTTTTTTCGAAAAACCGCTCAAAACCGCGATTGTTTTCATTCGACCGCGGTTTTACTAGAGGAAACCGCGGTTTGGATTGGATAACCGCGGTTGGTAGCGGTTTTTTTGAACCGCGATTTTCTGAAACCGCGTTGCTCGTATTCATGATCGCGTTTCTAAATACCGCGGTATTCAACGGTCTAAAAAGTCGCGGTATGGTAATTGAAAACCGCGGTATTTCAAGGCACGGTATTCAACGGTTTTCAAAACCGCGGTATAGTCATCAGTAACCGAGATGATAAATACCGCAGTATTGAGTGGTTTTTTAAACTGCGGTATATTCATCGGTAACCGTGGTGGTAAGTAGGGCGGTACTGAGCGGTTTCAAAAATTGCGATATAGTCATTAGTTATTGCGGTAATAAATACCGCAGTATTTAGTGGTTTCAGAAACCGCGGTATAGTCATCAATACTCGCGGTGGCAAACATCGCGGTATTGAGTGGTTTTCAAAAACGCGGTATAGTCACTAATAGCCGCGGTGGTAAATACCGCGGCATTGAACGGTTTCTAAAACCGCGGTACAGTCATCAGTAATTGCGGTGATACACACCGCGGTATCTAGCGGTTTCTAAAACCGCTGTATAGTCATCAGTAGTCGCGGTGGTTAATAAGGGCGGTATTGAGCGATTTCAAAAACTGTGGTATCGTCATTATTTATTGCGGTAATAAATACCGCGATATTCAGCGGTTTCTAAAACCCCGGTGTAACCATCAGTAACCGCGGTGATAAATAATACGGTATTCAATGGTTTATAAAACCGCGGTATAGTCATTAGTAACTGCGGTGGCAAATACCACAGCATTCAGCGGTTTCAGAAGCCGCGGTATGCCATCGAATAATCGCGTTATTTATTACCGCGTTTTTCAGCAGAGAAACCGCGGTATTTTTGATGCTTAAACCATCGCGATGGAATGTGTAAGGACGAAGAGGATGTCGTGCCCCGCTATTTTCATGGAAATTTTGCATAAGTTTTCTTATTCTATCTCTCACTACAAAGTAACTTTGTGGTAATGGAACTTCTCAAGTTCACTACAGACCCCTTGAAGGGTCGCTCACCTGAACTTATGACAAAGTTCAGGTGAGTCTGATCATACCTGAATCAGGTATGGTCATGGAAACCGCGTTTTCCAGCGGTTCCAGGAAACCGCATTTTCTAGCGGTTCCAGGAAACCGCATTTTCTAGCGGTTCCAGGAAACCGCGAAAGTCAGACCTTTTATTCAGTTTTTTAAAACCACGAAAAACTCCGGTATTGGTACACTGCGGCCATCACCACTTGAATAAACCGCGAAAGTCAGACCTTTAGTGCGGCTTTGGATACCGGTGAAAACCGCGGTGTGGAATTACCGCGGTTCTTGGCGGTTTTCAAAAACCGCATAAAAGGTCTGACTTTCGCGGTTTCGGAAAACCGTTGATTACCGTAGTTTGTGAAACCGCGGTTTCTCGCGATTTTTGTTCAAAAATTTTTCCGTGGGTAGTCTAAAGATTTTCATCAATTACAAATGGTATAGAGAAAAATTTATATCAATCAGGAAACTTTCCAAAGATCTGACATTAATTACTATTAAAAAAATTATTTGAACAGAATCTTTACTTTGTTGATCTCTTTTTCAATCAAAGTACTGTTACTCTCAATCTGACACTCAAAAGACTACTTAGGATTATTTTTCACTAATAATGCGTTGATATTTAAATACTGTTTTTTAGGATGGTTTTTCAATTACATCTGACTATCCACTAGGCGACATGGTGATGTTAATAAATAATATTCTTCTTATTTATTTACCTGCACTTCGATCTCTTGACTTGGGCATGAATTATTACGGGGCACGTTGACCCATTACTACTGCGGTCGCTCCTCTCACTTATCTGCGTCTTTGTTTATCGCATATGAACAATTTGTTGCGTCTTATATCGACAGAACCACTCTCCAATACATTACGCCAATTACACAACAATAGGTGATAGTTATTCCAATGCTCATTGTCCTGTGTCAATGTCTAATCTATCGATTCAAATGATTAATTTACATACATTTTCACTAGTTCAAACATTTTTCTCAATCTTAACAATTGAATGGACAGATTTTGAAATACTGACATCTTCGAATGTTATGCCTGTTCTTCGACGTGCTAATGTATCTCTGTTTATTAATATTAATGACATAAATAATATTAGTTCATCAGGAATCTTTACTGATCATCGTCATGTTGATGTTCATTTCGCATTTAATCTTCTTAATTGTTCTCAATGTATCAAAATAATACCGTATATGCTACGTGAAAATCGTTTTTATTCACGAGAAATTGTTGGTGCAACATTTCTTGTTAATCACTGGTCTCCCAGATCAGAATGGCTCATTGATAGTGATCCTTTTGTAAGTTATTGTTTGATTATATTTTTAAACGCCTTTTATTTCAAAATGTAATATGAAGGCAACGAAAATCATTGTTCTTTACTCAATAATTTAGTTTTTATCTAACAATATGTCAATGTGTTTCATACATTTATAGGAGTCGTGGACGTCATTATTATCATCATATGTGGTATACTCTTCCATGGACATTTGATGAATTCTTCCACGAATATATTCCATATAGATGGATTACCAAAGTACAAGTGTTTGAAATACGTAGCGCGTTCAAAAAGTATCGGGACTAATTTTATTAAAAAAC